ACTCTTTGGGTGAAGAAGTACTTCCTTTTATCCGTTCTAACCCGACCGCACAGCAATTTCATGGAGTGCCCACGAGTTCTTGTATTGTGAGAAAGGGAGAAAAGTACCTCTTTCTCCACCTGCCCTTCCCATGATTTATCTTATAAACCTCGATCATGTCACCCCTCAGTCGTCGTTTCTCCAAGCTAAAGAGCCCTAAGCACTTTAACCTTTCCTCATAGGGGAAGTGTTCCAACCCTTTTATCATTCGAGTTGCCCTTTTCTGCACTTTTTCCAAAGCTATAATATCCTTTTTAAGGTGTGGTGACCAGAACTGCACACAATATTCCAAATGAGGTTGCACCATTGATTTATATAGAGGCATTATGATATTGGCTGATCTGTTTTCAATACCCTTCCTAATAATCCCCAGCATAGCATTGGCCTTCTTTATTGCAGTCACACACTGTCTCAACATTTTCAGTGAGTTATCTACTACAACTCCAAGATCTCTCTCTTGATCAGTGTCTGCCAGTTCAGACCCCATCAATGTGTATTTATAGTTAGGATTTTTGGCTCCAATGTGCATCACCTTGCACTTGGCCACATTGAACCCCATTTGCCATGTTGACGCCCACTTGCCCATCCCTTTGGAATCATGTCCCCTCTAAGCCTTCTCTTTCCCAGGCTAAACAGACCCAACTCTTTCAGCCTTTCCTCATAAGACTTGGATTCCAACCCTCTCACCATCCTACTTGACCTCTTCTGGACACATTTTTCGAAAAATGGGGTGCCCAAAACTGGACACCGTATTCCAGGTGAGGCCTGACCATAGCAGAATAGAGAGCAACAACTTCTGCCTGATAATTAGGCCTGTGAGCTAACAGGCTGAGAAACAGGATAAGACCAGGGGAATGATGAACGCACTCACATCAGATACAAGCAACTCCCCTTTCAAGCTCAGCATCTCCCTAAACAGGATTTGCAAAAACTCAGGTCAGCCACAGAGAGGCATCGGCAGGACTCTCCAGGGCAGATTTCTGGGGTTTAGCGATTTGTACCTTCAGACACATTTTGGACAAAGGCAAAGAGGAAAACGTACCCAGAGAGGCCACAATCCCATAATTCTCCAGCATGACTTCCTTGTAGAGGGCTCTTTGGGCTGGACTCAGGAGGGTCCATTCGTCCTCGGTGAAATAAATGGCAATTTCTTCAAAGGTAATCATCCTCTGGGGGAAGAGGAGAAAATAATTCCCGCCTCTGCCACACATGCACAGAAATGTCTGGAAGGAGACTTTGAAGAAGTCTCAGAGCGACTTACAATCTCCTTTCCCTTCCCCTCCCCACGACAGACACCCTGAGAGGTAGGTGGGGCTGAGAGAGCTCTGAGAGAACTGCCCTGGACAGAACAGCTCTGAGAGAACTGTGATTGACACAAGGTCACCCAGCTGGCTGCATGTGGAGGAGTGGGAATCAAACCCGGTTCTCCAGACTAGAGCCCACCCCTCTTCACCACAACACCAAACTGGCTCTCCTTAAAAGCTGCCCTTTGCATCTGGGCCTCCCAGCCAACACGGAGACCACTAACCACTCAAACTGGCTTAAAGACCAGGAAGATTTCTGCAGTAACAAGCTTTTGAGAGTCAAAGCGCACTCGGTCAGACACCAGAGCTCTGACTCTCCAAAGCTCCTACCCCAGAAATCTTGACGGTCTCTAAGGCACAACCGGATTCGAATCCAGCAGCTGCAAGTGGAGGAGTGGGGAATCGAAACCGGCTCTCCCAGATGAGAGTCTGCGCGCTTGACCACCACACCAAACTGGAAACAGGGCTGTAGGAGAAGGGAATGGCTCTACCGGGCAGGGTTATAAAGGAAACGGGTCTGTAGTCCAGGAGCCCCTTGAAGACTAACAACATTTGTGACAGCAGATGAACTTCCTTGACTCACTCTCACGTGACGTCTCCAGTTACAGCTAGAATGGGAGTCCATCCGTCCTCATCGCTTGGAGAGGGAAGTGATTTCAGATGCCGAATGATAACAGCAGGCGAATGGCAATTAGCAAGCGTGACTGAATTAGGTGTGATATGCAGAGGGGTCGTAGGCAGTGTTCCCTCTAAGATGAGTTAGTGTGAGCTAGCTCACAGTTTTTTAGCCTCCGGCTCACACATTTTTGTCTCAGCTCAGGAAGGAGCGCTCCAGAACAAACTAATTTATGCAGTAGCCAAATTACCTGCTCACAACTTTAATGCCGGTAGCTCACAAAGTAGAATTTTTGCTCACAGGACTCTACAGCTTAGAGGGAACATTGGTCGTAGGCATGGAGAAACTGACTCGCGAAAGCTCATACCCTGCCACAAAGTTAAGATGCTCTTTTCTGGTGCTAAAGGTAAAGGTTCCCTTGCTTGAAAGCCAGTCGAATCAGACTCTAGGGTTGCGGTGCTCATCTCCGTTTCAAAGCCGAAGAGCCAGCGCTGTCTGAAGACGTTTCCGTGGTCATGTGGCCGGCATGACTAAACACCAAGGCGCACGGAACGCTGTTACCTTCCCACCGAAGTGGTACCTCTTTATCTACTTGCAATTTCTTGCTTTCGAACTGCTAGGTTGGCAGGAGCTGGAACTAGAGACGGGAGCTCACTCCATCATGCGGCACGCTCGGGTCTCGAACTGCTGAACTACCGACCTTCCACAGCCTGCAGTTCAGTGTCTTAACCACTTGAGCCACCGCAGCACCTGGTGCTATAGACAGACTAACACGGCAAACCATCTTGATCTATAGTCCGTGGCATTGTTTATTCTACATATTTATCTTCCTTTTACTGCCAGGTCCCCCACTCTTCTAACCCATTATCTGCACTCTTTTATAGTCTACTATTGGTTGCATTGTTTGTGTGTATTTATAGTGCACTATCGGTTGCATCTTTTGGCTGCATTTGCTTCTAATTTTTTTAGTCCTACCGCATGGCTTATTCTGCCTGGTTGCATTGTTTTTATATACCTGGCTGTCCTCATAAGAGAACATAAGAGAAGCCAATGTTGGATCAGGCCAATGGCCCATCCAGTCCAACACTGTCACACAGTGGCCCAAAATACCAGGTGCCATCAGGAGGTCCAACAGTGGGGCCAGGACACTAGAAGCCCTCCCACTGTCGCCCCACACCCCAAGCACCAAGAATACAGAGCATCACTTGCCCCAGACCAAGAGTTCCTAAGAACATAAGAGAAGCCAATGTTGGATCAGGTGAATGGCCCATCCAGTCCAACACTCTGTCAGACAGTGGCCAAAAACACCAGGTGGCATCAGGCGGTCCAGCAGTGGGGCCAGGACACTAGAGGCCCTCCCACTGCCGCCCCCCCTCCCAAGCACCAAGAATACAGAGCATCACTTGCCACAGACTGAGAGTTCCTAAGAACATACAGAGCATCATTTGCCCCAGACTGAGAGTTCCTATCTATACCTTGTGGCTAATAGCCACTGATGGACCTCTGCTCCATATGTTTATCCAATCCCCTCTTGAAGCCGTCCCTCCTCGTAAAGCTGCCACCACCTCCTTTTACAGGAGGCCATTTTCGAGTCAAATGTTTAAAGGGAAGTCTTTTGTTGGAGGGGTTGGATTGATTCACCCTGGTGGTTCTGCAAATGCACCATGGTAGTTTTGCTCCAAACTATGAATAAGTGCATATGCGCAAACTGAGAAAAAAATTTAAATTCCCGCGCGTCGGTAGTGTAGACGCCCAGGAGCGATGTGACTGCGTGGTCAGGCGGGATAAATGTGATCGCGATTATCCAGAGCAAAAATAATTGTGTCAGAACCGGACCAGTTTAAACCACTTTCAGCACGCCGCCTGAACACATCCGTACCTAAGCTTGGTAGATTTCTGCTGCCACCAGGAATTCAAAACTCTAGATCTCTCTTTTTTGGTAGAATGACCTAGGGTCTGGGCACTTCAGAGGACTATGTGGCCCTGAGGACTATTCTGATTTCTGGGATAAGTTTAAACAAGAACTGATGTATTTATAAAAGAACAAAATAGGTGTCTGGTTATTTTTGAACTGTTGTTGAAAAAAGGAACTTGTAAATATAACTGGCAAAGCTTGGTGCCACACTCAAGTCTCTTAAACATCAAACTCCACTCTGAAAAGCTAATCTCTTTCTCTCTCATAGCCACACAGGCAAAACTGTTTGTCTTATTCACACAGAATAAACCATTTGTCTATCCACACAGGATAGACACAACTTGTTTCTCTGGACATATAGACTCTCTCACCAAACTCTTATAGTCACACAGACTATAAACTTCACACAGACTCTCTTCAAAACTCTTCCACACTTGTCTCTCTCCCAAGACACACACAGAATCCTCTCAGAAACACCCCTCCTCCCATTCTCTCAGTCATCAGCCAATCACATCACACTTGTCTCCCTCTGTCACTCTCTTCACATTACTGCAGTCACACTAAACCAATGCCAGACCACCTCTGCACATCTCTTGCCTTGAAAACTCGAGAGCCAGTTTGGTGTAGTGGTTAAGTGCGCGGACTCTAATCTGGGAGAACCGGGTTTGATTCCCCACTCCTCCACTTGCACCTGCTGATGTGACCTTGGGTCAGTCACAAGCTCTGGCACAGCTGTCCTTGAAAAAGAGCAGTTTGTGTCAGAGTTCTCTCAGCCCCACCCACCTCACAGGGTGTCTGTTGTGGGGAGGGGAAGGGAATCCCCAGCTCCTTCAACCTTTCCTTATAGGACTTGGTCTCCAGACCCCTCACCATCCTCATTGCCCTCCTCTAGACAGGTATAGGATCCGTCTCTTACCTGAGCAGGCGGCATAGTTGCTGTTTCCAGCCTTCTCCAGAGAGGGCACGATCCCGACTTTGAGAGTAACGCTGCTCCACTGCCTATGAGGAAAGAAAGCGGAAGAGGGAACTTTGATCCTTTGGACATATGATTTTTGCCTGTTCCCCTCTATGGTGGCAGACAGTGTTCCCTCTAAGCTGAGTTAGTGTGAGCTAGCTCACAGTTTTTTAGCCTCCAGCTCACACATTTTTGTCTCCGCTCAGGAAGGAGGGCTCCAGAACACACTAATTTATGCAGTAGCCAACTCATCTGCTCACAATTTTTAATGCCAGTAGCTCACAAAGTAGAATTTTTGCTCACAGGACTCTACAGCTTAGAGGGAACATTGGTGGCAGACCTGTGATTTTTTCCCCAAAGCAAATTCTGGGGGAAGGAGGTTTCTCCCATTCCTCCAGTTTAAACCGCCCTGAGCCCGTTCGCAGGGAGAGCGGGGTAAAAATGCAAAAAATAAAATAAAAATAAACATCTGAGAGCGGCGTTTTGAACGGCAGAGGGAAGAGACAAGTCACACTTCCTTCCCTCCGTGGAAACTGTGGGCAGGATCCACCCTTCCATGAGGAGATGTTTTGAGTCCACGCTTTGCCACAGGTCCAAAAAGGCATTCAGCACTATACAGAACACATTTGTTGGGCGGTCAGAGAGAATAAGAGACAAAGCTTAAGGGTAAGAGAATTCGAACAGGACAAAACAAAAGCATAGGAAGACAGGATCTGGACAGATTAAGCAGAATTATGCAACCCCAAAGGGTATTCAAGGCAAGAGATGTGCAGAGGTGGTCTGGCATTGGCTGCCTCTTCCTAGGGACCCTGAGGCTTCCTTGGGGGGGTCTCACATCCAAACGCTGACCAGGGCTGACCCTGCTTAACTCCTGAGATTTGACAAAAATCAGGCTACCCTGAGCCATTCAGCGGTGAACATGTTCTTGTAAGTTAAAGCAGCCAACAAGCGATATCAGCAAGGACCCCTGGCCTGTGGGCCAGTCAGCAGAAGCCACTTGGTGGTCAAAAGGGTCTGCTTTCAAGGGAAGGAATCCTTTGGGATCCAGGGCAGATCTCTGACAGACTGATGGCAGACGAAATCCTCCTTCTGCCGCACCTGAATACGGCCAAGCCCATCCATGATTCCAGAGAACGGACTGGAAAAGGACGTTCTGGGAGACAAATTGCTCTGTGAGGCGGATCAAGGAGGGCCGTGGTCAACCAAATTTGCTTGTAAACAGCTGGTCTGAAATGGTAATTTTCTACTGGGTGAACTTTATGCTCTTAGTTCTACTGCTCAAACGGAACGTAGTCAGAAAACGTTTATTGATCTTTGGTTCCCAATAGTCTGCTGTCTAACTAAAAATGATATCCTTCCAAAAAAAAAATGTTTATCATGACCCAATTTATTTATTAATTTCTTTTTTTTAAGGAGCTGCGGTGGCTCAAGTGGTTAAGACACTGAACTGCAGGCTGCGGAAGGTCGGTAGTTCAGCAGTTCGAGACCCGAGTGCCGCATGACAGAGTGAGCTCCCGTCTCTAGTTCCAGCTCCTGCCAACCTAGCAGTTCGAAAGCAAGAAATTGCAAGTAGATAAATAGGGACCACTTCGGTGGGAAGGTTACAGCGTTCCGTGCGCCTTGGTGTTTAGTCATGCCGGCCACATGACCACGGAAACGTCTTCAGACAGCGCCTGCTCTTCGGCTTTGAAACGGAGATGAGCACCGCAACCCTAGAGTCGGACTCGACTGGCTTTCGAGCAAGGGAACCTTTACCTTTACTAATTTATTTTTGACTCCCCTGTTGCATAGTCACCCTGTAAAGCTGTAACTGTGAAATGTTTGAACACGTCTAGTCAGAATTCTGGTCTAATCTTCACTTGGTAAGAGCTTTTTAAAAAAATGTTGCACTTTTGAACTTTTCCTTCACTTTGCTATCAGTCTCTGTTCCTGAATTACCTTGTATTTGTTATTATGGTTCCGAACTGGTTTCTACTTCCCCTCAAAAAAAAGAAAGAAAATGAAATGGTAATTTGACAGTTAGTATGGTGCAGTGGTTCAGAGTCTCAGACTACTCAGAGCCCAGGAGCACATTAAAGACTAAGAAAATTTGTGGCGGGGGGGGGGAGCTTTCGCGAGTCACTCCTGCCTTCTTCAGAGACAGCTAGGATGTGAGTCCATCTGTCCTTATACCTTGGACAGTGCAGTGATTTCGGCTGCATATCACACCTCATCCAATCACACCTGCTATTGTCGTTCATCATCTGAAATCACGCTTCAAGATATAAGGACAGATGAACTCACCTTCTAGCTGTATCTGAAGAAGTGAGCTGTGACTCCCGAATGCTCACCCCCCCGCCACAAGTTCTGCTAGTCTTTAAGGCGCTCCTCGACTCTTGCTCTTTTCTCACGAAAGCTCCAACCCTGCCACAAGTTTTGTTATTTAAGGTGCTCCTGGCTCTTTTCTACTGCTACAGGCAGACTAGGCCTCTCCCACCATAATAATATCAATATTAAAAATTATTTTCGATATAACCTGAAATACTTCGATGTTTTATAAAAAAATTTTCAGTTCTAGGCAAAATTCAATCGATTTTCATGGGCCCTAAATTTTCATTTTTTTCCCCATGATGTGAGGGGGAAAAAATTAGAACATCTTCTTCAACCCTAAAGGCTCGTTCCCCCCCTCCCCAATTTTAAAAGAAAGGAAACCATTTTGGTGGCTCCTTAAAGTATTGCGGGCCCTAGGTACTGTGCCTAATGGATAAGTCGGCCCTGGCTGAGGGGCCAGCCAGTCTCGGCCTACCCTACCTCCCAGGGTTGTTGTGAGGATAAAATGGAGGAGAACGAGGTCAGCCGCTTTGGAGAAAGGCCCGGTACAAATGGATAAAACAAATAATAAACACCGCAGATACTTCCTAGGCTGTTCTCTGCTCACTAGAGAAAGAAAATACAACAAACCGGAGATACACAGTAAGGAAGAAGAAGAAGAGATTGGATTTATACCCCGCCCTTCACTACCCAAAGGAGTCTCAGAGCGGCTTACAAACTCCTTCCCCTTCCCCTCCCCACAACAGACACCCTGTGAGGTAAAAGAAGAAGAAGAGATTGGATTTATCCCCCGCCCTTCACTACCCAAAGGAGTCTCAGAGCGGCTTACAAACTCCTTCCCCTTCCCCTCCCCACAACAGACACCCTGTGAGGTAAAAGAAGAAGAAGAGATTGGATTTATCCCCCGCCCTTCACTACCCAAAGGAGTCTCAGAGCGGCTTACAAACTCCTTCCCCTTCCCCTCCCCACAACAGACACCCTGTGAGGCGGGTGGGGCTGAGAGAACTCTTGACAGAAACTGCTCTATTTCAAGGACAGCTCTTATCAGAACTATGGCTTGCCCAAGGTCATCCAGCCAGGTGAGAGTGGAGGAGTGGGGAGTCAAACCCGGTTCTCCCAGATTAGAGCCCGCACACCTAACCACTACACCAAACGGAACAGCGATAGGAACAAAACTCGGAAGATTTTTGGCGAATCATTTTGTACACAGTTTTGTCCTTATCAAGGAGCTGCGGTGGCTCAAGTGGTTAAGACGCTGAACTGCAGCCTGTGGAAGGTCAGTAGTTCAGCGGTTCAAGACCCGGGTGCCGCAAGACAGGGTGAGCTCCTGTCTCTAGTTCCAGCTCCTGCCAACCTAGCAGTTCGAAAGCAAGAAATTGCAAGTAGATAAATAGGGACCACTTCAGTGGGAAGGGAACAGCGTTCCGTGCGCCTTGGTGTTTAGTCATGCAGGCCACATGACCACGGAAACGTCTTCGGACAGCGCTGGCTCTTCGGCTTGGAAACGGAGATGAGCACCGCAACCCTAGAGTCGGATTCGACTGGCTTTCGAGCAAGGGAACCTTTACCTTTACTGTGTCCTTATCGCTCCGGAAAGAAGCCTGATGTCAGCACAGGGCATCCATAGGGATTCCCACCCCGGGCTTTGCATACAAGAGGAAAGCAGCCCCCTCCATGGGGCAACTTGGCAGACAGCTGGAAGAAAGGGGGGGGGTCGCCTGTCCTCTGCTGAGCCAACAGCTGCCTTTGGTCCACTTTCCCTGCCGGGGCTCCTCCCCAGCTAGTCTCACCAGGTCCCTCCCGGCCACCAGTGGGCATGGGGGGGGGGAGGATTGCCAGATCCAGGCGGGGAAACTCCTGGAGATTTGGGGGGTGGAGCCTGGGGAGGAGAGGGACCTCCGTGGGGCCAAGTGCTGTGGAATCCACCCCTCCAAAGCATCCGTTTTCTCGGGGGGGGGGGGCTGATCTCTGTCGTCTGGAGAAGAGCTGCAATTCGGGGGGGGGAGGTGTCCCCAGGTCCCACCTAGAGGTTGGCATGCCCATCCCCGCCCGCTCGTCTTCCCCCCTCCCCCTTGCTCACCTGGTGCCAGAGACTGCAGGGCGAGCCGAGGCAAGGGGACGCTTCCCCAACTCGGGAGGAAGTGCCCTCCTCCTCCTCCTCCTCCCCACCCCCGCTCCGACTGCGCATGCGGAGTCGCCTCCCCCCCAGTTGCCTCCCCGCAAAAGGAATTCCCTGCAAAGACTTTCCCCTCCTCCGCACCTTTGCAAAAGAAGAGGGGGGAGGTCCGCTTTCTTCGGGAGGGGGGCGGGAGCCGCGGCATAAGAACATAACATAAGAACATAAGAGATGCCAATGTTGGATCAGGCCAAAGGCCCATCCAGTCCAACACTCTGTATCCCACAGTGGCCAGAAATACCAGTGCCATCAGGAGGTCCACCAGTGGGGCCAGGACATTAGAAGCCCTCCCACTGTTGACCCCCCCCAAGCACCAAGATGACAGAGCATCACTTGCCCCAGAGTCCCTATCTATACCTTGTGGCTAATAGCCACTGATGGACCTCTGCTCCATATGCTTATCTAATTCCCTTTTGAAGCCGTCCATGCTTGTAGCTGCCACCACTTCCTGTGGCATGATCTCGGGCGACCCTCTTCGCCAGGAAGTGGGGGGGTCCCCACCCAGTGTTCCCTCTAAGGTGAGTT